GATGGAAATCTGAATAAAAAAATCGTCCATGATCAAGTTCAACTCGAAAACGGATCCTCAGTTGGTTTATCTATGTCTTACACCATTGAAGACCCCGATAGTTTGATCTATGGAGGGATTAGGAAAGTTAAGGTGAATCAAGTTAAGGACACCGATAACAACGACACCAGTTTCATCACAATGGGGCCTAACACCAACTATGGCAATGAAGATGGAAATGTAACTTTAATGGGACATTCCTATACAGGATTCGATCCTGCTCCTAGATCAGCCATTGCTACAAGCAAAGATGAAGAGAATTCCATATCTTTTGGTGGATTTCAAGATGAATCTGAGATGCCAATAAATGGGTATTATATCAAAGCCATGAACAACTATGGGTTATCATTTGATCAATCTACAGTCAAAACATTGCAGTCTCCTGAGATTAAGGAGCTGGATGTAGCCAATGTGCTCGGTGTTGTTGCAAATGCACCTCAGAGTGTTATTAAATCAAAGAGCAAATTAGAAACAAAACCAGCTAAAAAAGAAGCACCTAATAGCTTCCCTTCAAATGTCAGAAGCTTAATGGCTACTGGTATACTTGATGGAGTCCCTGTCAAATACGTTTCACTTTCAAAGGAGGTAAAGTAAATAAACATCTTTTTAAATTTTCAAACCATCATGCCTGACTTTTGAACAATCTGACAAATCATGATGAATTTAATCCGTATAATTAGGAGCTTTGTGGGATTATAAAAGGTTCTGGATACTTGTGTGGTTGTCAATCATGTAATCACTCTAAGGTGAGAGCTTACTTTTCATAATCTTTATGCAATTCTATATGTTTTGTTGTAAAAAATTTAATTTACACCATTTTATGGATTTAGGCACTGAATGCTTATGAATTTGAGAGACATGCGGGATGCAAAACAAAGCATCCAAACAATCACATATATTTTGAGAGTGGGAAGACAATATATCAAATAGTTCAAGAATTGAGGAGCACCCCTGAGAGTTTATTGTTTGATGCAATTCAAACTGTAACTGGGTCACCCATTAATCAGAAAGCATTTCGCACATGGAAAGGTAATAATTTACTAAAATTGATTATGGATATTTAGATATAAACAGATGATTGGGATTTGGTGTTTATGTTTGGTTTTGATAATTTGATTGTGTTTGTGTAGAATCTTTTCAAGCAGCTACTCGTGAACTTCAACGCATTTATGGAAAGGATGAACTCAATATATAGGAATTTTTTTTTTTTTTAAGTTTGTTTAAAATGTAAGAATTAATTATGATGTACTTCAACGTTGGTAACCATTTGTACATGAGTTTATTATATATAGGTTTGATTTTTTTTTTTGTTTGTTTGCAGTGTTTGTCAAATTTGATTCTGATTATCATTTTTAGGGCAGCTTTTGAGAGCTTCTAAAAGCTTTTAGCTTTTAAGTTTTATCTCTTTTTATACATTTCAAAAGCTTACAAATACTTTTGTCAAAAATTTCTACACAAATAAAAACTACAACTAGCTATTTTGGCCAAACATACCTAAAAAGTAGGTAAAAATTGTTCAACAAAACTGATCAAGAACTGAATGAAAAGCAAGAAAACTTAATTGTGATTATATCTTTTATGATGTGCAGATTTCTTGCAAGCTTTTACCCAAAGAGCATTAGATATACAAAAACAAAAGTCTTTTTTTATCCCAAGTTGAAACTTGAAATAGTAGATGTGAAACATTTAGAAAAAAAGAGTGCAAATATTCGTACATATTCATACAAGGGTGCACAAAACAATTGGGGATACGCATTAACAAAAAAAAAAAAAACTATGTTTCGTTTGAAACGCACATGTTAAAAAGAATGGTTATTGTCACCGTTAAACAATAGTTTTTAGCCTAATTTGGTCAATAAATTTTATTTCTCATAGTGTGGATCTTAAACTATAGAATTAGATGCTAATTAATGGAACCCTTAAAATTGTAGCCGGTTTCGAGGGTTTGAATGAATGGGTGGCGCCATGTGGCATCCCCTTCGACCAGGTAGTTTCCTACGTGTGTGTGTGTGTATATGTAAGTTCCTTTAATACACTTTCCTTGAAAAAACTCATTACTAAGTACTACGACTTGGTTTCCGTATTTGTAATAAGATAAACAATTATAAACAAACAAAGAACACTAAATAAAGGTAAAAGGTAAGTACTTGCATAGTACATGTTGTTAATAGTACAATACAATCAAAGTTTCATGCATGTGCAACAATTTGGTTACTTTCCCATGCAACAAAAACAATATTATCATAAAGGGGTGACAACCTAACCATGCAACAAAAACAATATTATCGAAGTTTCATGCATGTGCAACAATTTGGTTACTTTCACAAGCTACAAACATTTTGTTCCCCAACCTTTGACACTCTATGTCTATAATCCAGCTATGTTACATCTCTTTTCCTCTTTACAGTTGGTCTTCCAAACATCCTTGTATTTCTATAGGTTGTCCCTAGCCACATGTTGCTGCCATTCATCCCTTCAATTCTATACTTATGTGATTTTGTTCTGTTGAACATATGCTCCACAACATCCCTATTAAGGTAACTTTCGGTAGCTACAGAACAAACACATCCATAACCATTCAACTGCCATAACCTACAAGTACAGTTTTTTTTTTCTCAAGATCAACCTCAAATGCTTCCCCACACGCTCTAGTTTCAAATTGATTGAGGCCACCAGGAAAGACCCGCCAATACCTCTATTTTAGCATCATTAAGGTATGCAATCTCCATAAAAATGGCATAGTCAATTACTCAATTTCATTTTCAATGTATCAAATACAGTAGTAACCGTTTTTTCACATGGTTCTTGCATGAATCCTACCAGGAAATGAACATATTTAGTAAAATCTATCCCAACAAAGTCATGAATAATACATTGAATGGACAACACACAAGAACTCCATTGAAGTTCAAATCAACTTTCATCACGACATCAAGTAAAAAAAATCAAAGAAAGAGACAAACACTTACGATTTGCATACACCAACAAAAAACCCTAACTGTAACATATGTTCTTCAAGATTAATGTGGGTGTAAATTAATGAGCGAAACTCGATCATAATTCAAGAAAATCTATTACTAATTTACAAGGTTAATGTTGTTTATCCACGTGCAGAGAAGAAAATTAATTACAAAAATTAAAGTCAATGTCACATCATGAAAGAAACCAGATGACCGTTTTTCATTTATGGAACAATGGTGTAAATGACATAGATTTTCACACTACCAGAAATAAAATTCAATGACTAAATCAGTTCAGTTCAAACTGGGCAACACTCACAATAACCCTAACCGCAGCAAGCTGATTTCTGTTCAGATTGACTGTTTGCACCTCCACCCTCTGGTTTATTAATCTTAATTGTTGATGCCTGCCATTAATATTAAAACCAAATACTTTGTAAATATAAATACACAAATCATAAATATTAAATATAACAAATACTTAGAAGAACAAAAATTACCTCAGGTTTAGAATCAGTGTCAGCCAGTCTTTGCTTGATATCTGTTGCTACTGAAAAGAAAACTTGTTCCACATTTAGGTTGGTTTTCGCACTCTGTAAAAACACAGCTTATATTCCTCAATAACAATATTTATTTACAAAAAAAATAAACATAATCCATATTGAAAATGTATTTTTATTAACTTACAGTTTCGAAAAATTTAATGCCATACTCATCTGCTAGTGCTTGGCCCTTTGAGGTAGGTACAGCCTACAAATATTATGTAACTAAATAAAAATAAAATAATAATAATAATGGATTAATGGAATTAGGTTAAAAACTATAAAAATTACCCTCTTGCTTTCATCCATATCAGCTTTATTCCCAACAAGGATCTTGTTCACATTATCAGATGCATGTTGTTCGATGTTGCGAATCCAGTTTCTTATGTCTGTAACATCATATTAATTAGATTAATAAGATAATGTTAATTAGTTAATTAATTATTCAGGAAAGAAAATCTTACTGTTGAAAGATGATTCGTCTGTAACATCATACACCAACAAAATTCCCATGGCTCCCCTATAGTAAGCTGGAGGGAAAAAAAGATTATGTAAATTACAAATTAATTGACATTTAAAAAAAATATGAACAACAAATCATATCATCATAGATTCATAGTGATACCAGTAGTGATTGTTCGGAATCGTTCTTGGCCAGCTGTATCCCAGATTTGGAGTTTGATCCGTTTGCCATCAAGTTCAATTGTTCTTATCTTAAAATCGATACTGCAAAAAGATTAATGTCAGAAATGTTTGTATAAAAAAGATGATATTTTGATGTAGAAAAGATGAATTAGTTCACCCGATTGTAGTGATAAAACTTGTAGTAAAAGAACCATCAGAAAATCGTAAAAGAAGGCAACTCTTTCCCACACCTGACATTCAAAACAAGTAACCGTTGATGAATGAAAGATTGAGAACAGATATCAGATATGAACTCGATCATTGATCAATCACAAATGCAAGTTTATAGCAGCAATTCACAGATTCTTCATTAAATGAGTTACAGTTGATGAATGGAAGTAACACTGACATTCAAAACAAGTAACAGTCGATGAATGGAAGATTGGGACCAGATTCCAGACATGAAATCGATCATGATCAATTACATACACAAGTTTATAGCAGCAATTGACAGATTCTTCATAACAGTTGACTTTCCTCTAGCATGATAACGCTAATGAAATTCTTAACAAATACAAGACCAAATCATGATAAAGCATCAAATTAAACCTAGATCCGTACAATAAACCACCTCCAGAATCAACTAAGAATCAATATCACTAGCATATAGACGAAAAAAAAAAAACAAACAGTGAAATTGTATTTTAAATGACGAAAATTATGACTCACCGCTATCGCCAATCAAAAGGAGCTTTATGAGGTAATCATAATCTGCTCGTGCCCTTGCAGGTGGAGCGGCCATTGAAGGATCGGAAGAGTTTTCAACAAATAGAGTCTAATAATAAACCGCGTAAATATATCTGTAACATCGATTAAACCAACAAAATTACAAACAGAAACAAAGTAAATGAATGCGCAATCAACAGCAAACACACCCGACTAGTAAGCGATAAGAGATCCGCCATTGAAAATCTAGACAGAGAGAAATTATTACCTTGGAATGCTTAGAAAACAAAAAGAGAGGAATCCAGCCTACAATGACGGTTGGCTAAGATGCGCCAGTTCCCCTTTCTGCTTCTGTGTTTTCAGGTGCCTGTACTTTGCTAAGGGTGCGCTGTTGGCTCTCCTGCGCAATCTAGCAAATACGGGGAAAAAGAAGAGTAAACGAATGAACGAACGATGGGGGAAGCAAGTATCCGGTGTTGACGCGCACAAGATTAACCGGTAGACAGTTGTTGGATTTAAAGGAAACGAAGTGGCCGATCACGGTAATAACCGTGTGCGCGTTGCAGGGGCTAAAATCTGAGCTGGATATTGTAATTTGGAGCCTTGATAAGGTTGAGGTCGTCATTTTTGTTACAATCTTTTTAGGAAAATGACTTCTAAAGTTTTAAGGAATTTTTCAAACAGTTCAAAAAATCTTTAAAAAATCTAAGAAAGCCCAACAAACTTAATACTTTATCTAAAAAATCTCAAGTAAATTATATTTTTGTTCAATTCCTATTAGGATCAACCAGCTAATGAAAATCAATAAATGACATGACTTATGACGTGAAATTAAATATTGGGAAAATGACTTGTAAGACCAACGAAGTTTCGAAATCGTTCAAAAAACCTCAATCATATTTTGTTTGTCTAAAAAAACCAAGGAGCTTACGTTTTTGTTCAATTCTCATTAGAGCAACCAGATTCATTAGGTATACAATTGCTTTTACACTTTCAATTATACTTTCTCGCTATGTACTTGAAAAAGATTTTAAAGTGAGACTCTGTTTAGGTAATTAATATTTATGATTTTTGACAAACGATAAATTAGTTTGCAAAACTCGTACATGTCATGTAGCTGAACACTAGAAGCAAATATAAGTCAAAAGAAAACATTTTATATTATAAATAAATTTTTATTTTTCTTTGGATATAAATAATTTCCTTAATTTGTTGATAAAATTTAAAATTTATGAATAGATTTTTTTTTTCTTTGATTTTTCTCATAATTAAAAAAAATTCAAGATTGCAACCAAATGTTATATTGTATACATAAGTAATGGATATAGATAATTTCTTTAATTATAACATACAAAAATGTATTTTACACAAATATCAACACAATAACGATATATTTGTCCTAAAAATTGAAGTCCCCTTAAAATCGAAGGTCATATATGACCACACCGCTAGCACACCCCACCCCAGGGTTGTCACTGACATCAAACATGAAAGCTGAGCGATATAGTATTTATTCAAAACGGTGGGTTACTCGAAAATTACTTTTGGTATTTAAACTTTAAACCATCTTTATTTATATACATTATTAATTAAAAAGATCACTACAAAATCATCTTTATCTTGTCGCGGACATGGATTGAATTAAAGATTAGTTTATGAGTATATTAGATTTGCAATTAAAAAAGAAAAGAAGTACGTGTATTATCATTAATCAAAATACTGATTATTTGTTATATTTGAGTTAATTGTTTAAAAGGACATAACAAAAAATCATAAGCAACCATTGACTTTTTAACATTCTACTTCAATGATAGTACTAAAAGTTATGTCATGTCGCTTTTATTTTTAAAGATTTCATTTTCAAGTGGGGCTTTGATTTATTTGTTCTTTTGTTAATCTTTTCTACTATAAACAAGTTGTTATGGGTTTCTTTCGTTTTATAGAAAGTGTCCAAAATTGGCACATCGAATTGTGAGGTCCCGTTTGCATCCTTCATATACGTTTTAACTTTCAACTTATGTTGTTTAAATTAGATAAAATATTTTTAATCATTTTATAATAAAGTTATAGTGTTTTTATAAAAGAAATTGTTTTATATCACATACATATTTTTTGAATAATTATTTTTTAAATAGTTTAATTGGTTTTGGCAATGACATTTGACTTTGGGTGTTGTGTCTTAACGTTTAGACTTGGTTTCATGTTATGCACTTGATTTATTTTTCAAATAGTCTAAGATTAATAAGACTTCAAATATTGTATTTCGACTTTTAAGCTTCATTTTATATTTCAGAGAACACTATAGAAAATTAAGTGAATTTTCCAAGTAACTGAAATATAATATGCTAAAATAAAATAAAATGTAAATGAAGAGATGGAATATACCATCATAATTGGTTAATATAAAATTTGAGAAGAGGGAGATGACAACACATTCTTTTATTATTATTATTTATTAGGTTATAGCCCATGTGAACCATGGTTACAAAAATAAATAAATTTTTATAATAAAAACATCATAATTATTAATCAATTATTTTCAATAAATTATTAATTAAGAGATTTATGTTTTTTTATTTATGTGAAATTATAACCGTTGATTCAAATAAATATGTGAAATTATTTTTCAAGATATATATGAGACAATTCATGCAAATTGTGTTTTAGATCAATCGAGTTCTTTAACAGTTTAATTGGACTTGTGCCGTTTGATTTTTCTAAAGTTGAAGGAGTTACATTCTCTCCAGAAACACAATCATAAATTTGAAACAATTTTAATTGGTTAGTTGTCTTTACACTTTAGTAAAAATTAAGTATTCTCATAAATAACAAATTTGTTAAAGTGACTATAGTATATTATAATATAATATAATATTTAAATTTACAACTTTTGTGTAAAAGAATACAGAGTATTGTCAATTGTAAGTAATCATGAATTAATTTGATAAGTAAATAAACATAGTACTTTAACATAGCTTTGAAATACTTCTATGTACATAACATTGAAAGATTTATTTGTCAAATTATCATCTTTATCTAAAATCAATAACTTTAGTCATTTTTGCTCTTTATTCCGGATAATTATGTTGTACAAAAAATAAATTGACATTTTATAGCATGTTCAAGTGCATAATCATATGTAAAAATATGTATTTATGCTCCAAAGATGTTGTATGTAATGTTTTTGTAATTGGTTCGGATGTTGTATGTTATGGTTTTGAACTTAATGTTTTTGTATTAGACACGAATGGTCCATATGCTTTGGGGTAATTTTCACGTTTGGTCCCTAAATTATTTTTTTTAACTCGGAAGGTCCCTAAAGTTTGTTTTTATTGCGTGCTTGGTCCTTGTCATACCCAAAAAGACTATTTTGCCCTTGATTTTTAATTTATTTAAATAAGCTGAGGTAGGTAAGGTAAGGTAAGGTGAGGTGAGGTGGAAGTGGGGTTGGGGGTGCGTTTATTTAAATAAATTAAAAAATCAAAGGCAAAGTAGTATTTTTTAGGTAAGATAGGGACCAAGCACGCAACAAAAACAAACAATAGGGACCTTCTGAGTTAAAAAAATAAGTTAGAGACCAAACGTGCAAATTACCCCAAACCATAGGGACCATTCGTGCAATTTACTCTTTGTATTATTGTTTGCTTTTCAATGTCTATATATCTATATCTATATCATATCATATCATACTATATTATAAAGAAAGTATGATATAATATATCATACTATATTATATCATACTATATCATATCATACTATATCTATATCTATATCATATCATATCATACCATTCGTGCAATTTTTTCTTTCACCACATTCATTTGAAACTTCCAACTCTTCATATTTCCATTTAATATATTTAATTTATTAACTTAAATATGTTTTTAGTTGTAAACATTATCATATATAGAAGACTTTGTGACTTATCAATATGATATATTTAATTTGTTAACTTCAATATATTGTTAAATAAATAACCTACATTAATATATCAAATAAGCTTAAAAATTTAGTGTAAAATTTAAAACCTAAAGTAAAATATTAAATAATGTTTAAAAAAATTCAATATATATATATATATATATATATATATATATATATATATATATATATATATATATATTTAACATAGTTAAAAGGAAAACATTAAATATAATAAATATAAAAGAATCTAAATCGATGAATCGAATTAACTAAAAGGTGTCTGAAAACTATATTTTATAATAACTAAAATTCAGTTAAGTTGTTTTTAAATTAATTTATAATAATAATAGTTAAAAATAATAGAAACTTAGAAATTAAATTATGTTAGATTACAAACAGTTGTTGATAATTTAAATAATCATCATGATAAAATTAAAACACCGTCATTTTTTTAAATTAATAAATCATAACAATAGTAAATTAAAATAGTTGACAAATATAACTAATGTTATACACACGTAAAACATGAGTAGAGACCACTAAATGATTTGATTTTAATAAGCGTTATTTTATCTATTGTTCAAATTAATTATAATTTTATATAAACTAAATGAAATTATTATTATTATATAGTTAATATAAATGATATAAGTATTTTCAATAACATAAGATTACCAAAAGTTTTAATTTTATTATGTGCGACGCGCGGATATTCGCCTAATCATACATACTTATAAAGCTAGCATTTTTTCTTGAATATCATGCATTTGAAACCCCATTTTTTAACTTCCTCAAACCACATTCATTTGAAACCCCCTTTTTTAACTAATGCAACTCAAAAGTTTTCTTAATTATGATTTAACACTCAAAAGTTTTATAACTTATATTATGTTTAGTTAGCATTTAGTGAAAAGTTACTATAAAAAGGTCAATCTTTTGGGAAGACATGCATACAAATCATATACAAATTTTAGAAAGAAAACAAACTTAAAGGTTTTTGTGTTGGGTTGAGGTATTATGACCACTTTTTGGAGATATGTTATTATATTAGAGCTTTTAATTTGTAAGTTTGTTATACTAATTCATTTTTATATTTTCTTCGTTTTTGGATTATTGTAATACAGTCGTTGTATATTGTGGTTTAATCATTAATATATTGATCATATGTTATATAGGGTGATGTCGAAAATATTTAATTAAATATTTTAAATATGTTTTTTTGTTTTGTAATTGTACCGTTTCATAAAGATAATTAATTAAAACTCATACATATGTTATACTTTCCATCTCTCTCTCTCTCTCTCTCTCTCTCTATATATATTATATATATATATATATAATATTATATATATATATATATATATATATTATAATAGAGGTGAAAAACAAAACTTCAACCAAAATTAATAAATCTAATATTTCAAATGCTTTTTAATAATGATTGTAAAAATTTCAACATGTGTTACTTAATTGATTGATTGATAAAAATATTAATGTTTTGGAACTCCTAACTCTTAAACTTATATTATTTAATTTGTTAGTTAACTAAAATATTTTTCCTACATAAAGATAACATTTTTATGTTACTCATATTTGTTTATGTAATTACAAAATAAGGTGTACATAGAATGACTACTTCAATTTCACATAGGAATCGATACCACTAGAGAGGTATGTTGTCTTTAACCGGTGGTAGGAGAT